CGTAAGAAGCCGGGCAGGGAAGTGGTGCACGCCTTTAATCCCAGCAGAGGCAGGTGGATCTTGTGAGTTTGAGGACAGCCTGGTCTACAGAGTGCGTTCCAGGGCAGCCAGGGTCAGTACACAGAGAAACCCTGTCTTGAAAAGCCAGAAAAAAAAACAAAACCCAGAAAACAAAAAACCCACCAACAATCAAAAAACCAACAACACTGAATAAGGTGCTTCTGGCTTCGAGACAGTTCTGAGGTAGGATAAAAGGATGGGCAAGGAGGCCAGGTTGAAGACAGGAAGGGAAGAGAGCTGGCAAGTCAGAGTACTTCTACAGTGTTTCCAGCAGGGAGACTCTGAGTAAAGAATAGAACTAAAATAAATTTATGTATCTTTTTAAAGACACTGTCTCAATGTGTAGCCCTGCCTGGCTTGGAACTCTATGTAAACCAGGCTGGCCTCCATCTCACAGAGAATCTCCTGTCTCCGCCTCCTGAGTACTGGGATTAAAGGTGTGTGTCATAACGCATTGCCTATTATACAAATTCTCAACTGTGAAAAGTAAGGAAAGCTGTTGTAGAATTTTTTTGGGGGGGGCGGGGGTTCGAGACAGGGTTTCTCTGTGGCTTTGGAGGCTGTCCTGGAACTAGCTCTTGTAGACCAGACTGGTCTCAAACTCACAGAGATCTGCCTGTCTCTGCCTCCCAAGTAATGCTCTGAAACTTTTATTTAATGATGTAAGGATATGTTGCTTTTGTTTATGCTGCATTTGTCTAACTCTGTGAAGCTGTAATTATTTGCCTGTCTAAAACACCTGATAGTCTAATAAAGCACTGAACAGCCATAGCAAGATAGGAGAAAGGACAGGCAGGGCTGACAGGCAGAGAGAACAAACAGGAGGAGAAATCTGGGAAAGAGAGAACAAGGAGAGGAGGACTCTAGGGGCCGGCCAGCCACGGAGTAGCCACAGAGTTAAGAGTGAAAGTGGAATATACAGAAGTAAGAAAAGGAAAAGACCCAGAGGCAAAAGGTAGTTGGGATAATTTAAGTTAAGAAAAGCTGGCAAGAAACAAGCTGAGTGCTTGTGGCACTCAGGAAACCGGGCAGTGGTGGCACACACCTTTAATCCCAGCACTCGGGAGGTAGAGGCAGGTGGATCTCTGTGAGTTGGAGGCCAGCCTGGTCTACAAGAGCGAGTGCCAGGATAGGCTCCAAAGCGAAAGAAAGAAAGAAAGAAAGAAAGAAAGAAAGAAAAACAAGCTGAGCTAAGGCAGGGCATTTGTAAGAAAGAATAAGCCTCAGTGTGTGATTTATTTGGGAGATGGGTGGTGGGCCCCCAAAGAACAAAGAGCTTAAGAGTAAAGAGTAAAAACCAACTACAGAAAGCCATTTTGGAAGAGCTGGTCTAAGAGCAATAGTGAAAGCCACCAACAGCTTCAGACTGTGGAGGTGCCTCTCTCCAGGCTCATGCTCCACAAAGGTGTCTTTCTGGATAACCATTACCTTGCTCTAATCCTGGGTCCACACCTGGGTAGGCGTTTATTTGCATTGCTAATATCCTAGCTTGTTACCAAATCCAAAGGCACAGAGGCTAAGACAATCAGAGCAGTGTACAGAGAACACAACAAAAAAGTAGAGAGATAGGCGTGTCCTAATGAACTTCCAGTGTACAACTTCTTAACCTTTGCAGCCTCACATAGAGAGGGTCATTTAAAAGTGAGTACTTTTGCACAGTTAAGGACAATGTTGATTTATAAATAATCAGTTGGCATTTGTCACAGTTATAAAATGTAAAATCCAAATAAAATTCTCTGCAGAAATGTTAAAAGTCCTTAGCATTATCAGCCTGAACTGTAATTTATTCCCTGAAAACTGCACGAACACACTGTTAAGGATATTCTTCCTTGCTATTGAAATTAATCTGCATTTTTTTCTGATGAGAAAAATTCAAGGTTCCATCTGTGCAATGGTGATGCACACTTTTAATCTCAGTGCTTGGGAGACAGAGGCAGGTGGATCTCTATGAGTTTGAGGCCAGCCTAGTCTACAGATCAAGTTCCAGGACAGCCAGAGCTACACAGAGAAACCTGTCTCAAAAACAAAACAAAACAAAACAAAGATTCCACTCGGATTAAAAACAAAGAATCACATGTGTGATGGCTATTCTTGGTTCTCAACTTGACTACATCTGGACTTAACTAAAACCCAAGAGGCAGGTATACCTGTGGGGGATTTTTTTCTTAATTAAATTATTTAAAGTATAAAGACCCACTTTTAATTCGGACTGTTTGAAGTGAGAAATAAACCTTCAAAATCTAGATCTTTTGAGGGGGGAAGATGCACCGATAGTCTGGGCCACACCTTCTGCTGGCAGCCTATATACAGGACATGGAAGAAGGAAGCTTGCTCCCTTTGCTGGCTTGCCTTCACTCTGGATGGTAAATCCATTCCTTCACTGGCATTAGAGGCTACTTCTTCAGGATTCCGGTGTAAACTGAAGAGCAGTGAGACATCGGTGGCACGGTGGACTGAACCCTACTGGATTCTTGGGTCTTCCATTGGCAGAGAGAGCCACTGTTGGAGTAGCTGGACCACAGCCTGGAAGCCAGTCTAATAAAGCTGTCATTCTATTTGTTCCTCTAAAAAGCCTAATGCAGCATGTCTTGACTAATACAGTCTCTCTCATTGAAAATAAATTCAATTTCACAAGTTAGTCTAGCTTAACCATGACCTGGATGTCAGTGTTGGTTTTACCTGCATTGAATGAACCATTTCTTTGGTGAAGCGATACGGATAGAGTACGTTGTGAATTTTAACTGCTAAGCTCTCAGCCCGGCCACTGCTGACATCAACAGCAACCTAGAAAGACCCAGTAAAAACATAATTTTATTTTTCATGTCTGTGGAAATGTTTTTCCAATGATTTCAAAGTCCTCTAAAATACTCATTTTTGGGGGCTTGGATACTGCCTAGCATATACAAGGCCCTAGTTTCAATTTCCAGAACTGCAAAAAATAAAACCAAAACCAAACAAGTACTTTCATACATTCTACTAGAAATAGGATGAATGTAAGAAACCTATAGATCTAATAGGCTCTAAGAAAAGTTGTCTAAATTAACACATTTTTTATAAACACTGACTAAACCTGCACGATTTCAGAACAATTTGTCTATGCTCCATGATTAAGTCCGTAAAGGCATCTTAAGTGAGGAATCAGTAGTCAAATGCTTGTCTGTTACCCAGGCTCATTAACATACTCGGTACATGCTGTGACAACACGTCAGGACACACAGAACTGTTCCGGCAGATGAAATGGTGTGAAGGGTTGAATGGGTAACCCTTATTATTACCACCCTGTAAGACAGGATAAATACATCTACTCTTCACACTGAATATACATGTTTCATCCAAATTTCTTGACCTTTCTAAAATGCTGACTTACCCTCTCTACATTAAACACTAATTTCCAAATAAGTTATCTAGGAATCTGCCTACTTTCCATTCATAATTAGAAATTCATATACTCAGGCATGCCCACACCCAGCTCAAATGAAGTTCAAATTTACAAACAGGCAAAGAAAAAGTACTGCAGACCCACCTCTGGGTAACGGGCAAATACTGGATTGTTCCATTCTGAAAATAAAGACTGAAGTGACTCACTGACAGCAGCAGCACCCACAGCGTCTAGGACAAAGAGGGACAGCTGCCATCAAGAACCCAGAAAAGAGTGTCCCTTCCTATTCCGCTATAGCCTCGATACCAAAAAACAGGCACATTGTCCCTTCATCCTACAAATGGTCAGAGCCTGTACCATATCCCTACATTTGGTTTGGTGTTACTTCTTTGGTTTGGAGACAGGGTCTGGCTGGCCTAGAATTCACTATGCAGACCAGGATAGGCCTCAAACTTACAAAGACTCACTTGCCATTCCCTCCCCTCCCAAGTGCTGAGATTAAAGGAGTGCACCACCACTGCCCAGATTGATGCTACTTTTAAAACAGTATTCTGACTACACCTTCTGAGGCAGTATCTCTCTAAATTGTTTAGAAGAATGGTTCTCAACCTTCCTAATGCTGCCACCCTTTAATACAGTTCCTCATGTTGTGACCCCAAACATAAAATTATTCCATTGCTACTTTATAACTATAATTTTGCTGCTGTTGTGTATGTAATTTAAATATCTGATATGCAACCCAAGGGGTCACAACCCACAGGTTGAGAACCACTAGTCTGTTTCAGGGGCCTGGAGAGATGGCTCAGAGGTTAAGAGGACCTCTGCTCTTGCAGAGGTCCCAGGTCTGGTTCCTGGTACCCACATGGTGGCTCACAACCATCTCCAGTTCCAGAGAATCTGATGCCCTCCTCTGGTCAAGGGCACTTCGTATGCATGGTACACAGACATGCATGCAGGCAAAAATACCCACACACAAAGTAAATCTAAGTAAGTTTTAAAACAAAAGTGTGTGTATAGAAAAAAAAACTATAGTTCAAAATTTCTTGTTGCCTTTTGATAAAAATATACTTAATCTATTTTAAGAAACAGCAAAAACAAAAATAATAGGTTTCTTTAGCTTTTTTTCTAAGATCAAACTACTGTAATATGGAGAAATTCAATCTTCAAAAATAAGAAACCTTTCCCCAGTCACAGACACCATAGCATAAGCATAATCACCCAGCACCAACTTCCAGTCTGGAAAAGCAATTTCTGATCTAAATGCATGTACTGAATTACTTAGTTCTGCTGTTAAACAGAGCCCTGGGGAATGCCTGGTTCCTGAAGCACAGCTGGTGCTGATCAAGCTTCAGAATGCGGCTTAGTCTTCTGCATTAAGTGGGACAGGGTGTACTAGGTGTCTCCACATACAACCTCTGGCATTGCTCTCACCTCTGTCGTTCTGTCTCAACATAGTCCTCTCTTCCTGGGCTCTTGGAAGGAAAGGAAGAATAAGATCGCTTCTAAAAGGATGACACCTGTACTGAACCCCTAAACAAAAAAGAAAAATCTACAAATTTGAACTCAACATACAAATAAACTATTAAAATTGTATAAAATCTCTTTCTCAACAAACTGAAAGAAAACATAAGGCAGACTACTAAACACTACATGGAAAGTATTTTCAATGAAATTATCTAACTTATTTACATGAACACGTCATCTCTTTATCCCCATATTGTGTGATTTTCAATGTTGCAATGAGCAGGTTGCTAGGACATATGAAGCGATGTCTTCAGACATGTTTCACAGTCATATCTTGGGTAAATGATGCAGCTACGGAAACCAGCGGATAAAGTTGGGGTGCTGCTAAATACCCTACAAGGCCTAGTTACTCAGGAAAGCTTGTCAGACACACAGGTGTATTTATGGTCACTCACAACCTGGTGCAGCCTCCACAAATTCCCAACTTTTATGTCTCTTATCCACAATCTATGTCGATACTGTAATCATGATTTCATTGTATTACATGGCTATCCCTAATAGACTAAAATATTGAGAAGTCAGAGAGGCTTCAATGTGACAACACCTACCAAGGTGTAAAAAACAACAAATGATGAATGAGGGGCAGGGCTGGAGAGATGGCTCAGAGGTTAAGAACACTGGCTGCTCTTCCAGAGTTTCTGAGTTCAATTCCCAGCAACCACATGGTAGCTCACAACCATCTGTAATGGGATCTAATACCCTCTTCTGACATGTAAGCATACATGAAGACAGAACACTCATACAAATAAAATAAATCTTTCTTTTAAAAAAAGGTGAATGAGTGGATGAAAGTTACTCTATTCAAACACCAAAGTCTGGAACAACACAGTCTAAACTCTAACCATTTATGGGGCCTGGAGAGATGGCTCAGTGGTTAAGAGCACCAGCTGCACTTCCAGAAGATCTGGGTTCAATTCCCAGCAGCCACATGGTGGCTCACAGCCATGGAATTCTAGTTCCATGGGATTTGATGCCCTCTTCTGGCCTCCATGGCATGAGACATGAACATAGTACACACAATATATACAGGCAAAAACATTCAAATACATGAAATTTTAAAAAAAATTAAAAGGAGGGGGGAACACATAACAGAATTATCAAAAAAGACAAGCCTGTTGAACAAAAACTAAAGTTAAGAGATTAGCTAAAATAAAGTTGTGTCACATGCCCTTAATCCCAGTACCTGGGAGGCAGAGGCAGGCAGATCTCTTTGAATTCGAGCCCAGCCAGGTCAACAGATCGAGTTCCAGGCCAGCTAGTGCTAAACAGAGAAACCGTGTCTCAAAAAACAAGAACAAAAGAGAAAGACTGATTGATTGAATTGGGACTGTAGCTCAATTATAGTAAAATGTTTAGCTAATATATAAGCTAAAGAAGATATTTTTTAAAAAAGTATTTTTATTTTATGTGCATTGGTGCATTGGTATGTCTTTGGTAGGCTGTCAGATCTTGGAGTTATGGACAGCTGTGAGCTGCCATGTGAGTGCTGGGAATTGAACCCGGGTCCTCTGGAAGAGCAGTCAGTGCCCTTAACCACCGAGCCATCTCTCCAGCCCCTAAAGAAGATATTTTTAAAGGAAAAAGAATCCCAGGGATTAGGAATATGACGGTTATTCCAAATTTACCTTTATATAACAAAATCTTGGTTTCATGTAGCCAAGCTGGCCTCAAGATGTGTATAAGGATGACGACCTTTACCTGATCTTTCTGCCGCCACATCCCAAGTGCTAAAATGAGCTGACCTTTAACGCTTCTCTTAGTAGAATGTTGCATGTTCACATTTTCATGTGTAGTCATGTCTTAATGTCCCACTGTAAAGAGCCAGTCCCATGTGAAGGGGGGATGTGTGGTGCCATCGTTTCAATGAACTTGTTTTGATGCCACTTGACTTAACCTAACTCTCCAAAGTCCAGATGGTGAAGTGCACTGAAGTAGTTCCAACACCAAACCCTACTTAACAGGAGCAGATGTTTATGCTGAGTGTGGCAGCTAAGACCGCCCCCCCTTGTTTTGGCAGCAACCACCTCACAGCTGCACATAATCCTGTTATTTTTTGGCACTGTGTCAGAAGCAGTTACATTTCAGGAAGATGAGGTGCCGGCGCCTTAGATGTTCCTCTCCGATAAGCATTCAGCACATACAAACCAGTACATATGACCTAGACCGAAAAGCACATAAAGATGCCTTAACAGCAACTGGATAGTCTCAAGAGCAATCCTGAAAATAAGGGGTTTTCTCCTCCTATGAAATTCTCTATAAGTTACAATAGTGATCTTTTTTCCCATGAGGAAAAAAATTTGAGGAACATTTAAAACTAAAGGATTTATTTAACATCAGAGCCTCCAACTAGAGATATTTATCCTAAGGAGACATTGTAATTTGCAATTACATTCATACAATATACATTCTTTTACAGCATGCGAGACTTTTAACAGGGATGCATATTTAATGTTTACCTACTAGTGAAAGCTGAGATTATAGCCAGATGGAAATCAGCTTTACCGTCTCCCAACATCTGGCTCTCAACACATTGCCAAAACAATGTCACTTTTAATGTTGCCTGAAACCTGAGAACCCAGAGTCCTAGACTAGGCTCTGGTGTAGCTTTGTGGCACAACCTCAAAGCCACATTGATATCAATGTCTTGTATCAGAGATGTATCAAGTGGATTGATATATACATTATAATAAGGTACATTTGAAAAATATGTTATGAAGGCACTATCTAGCCTTTATTCTGGAAAAACGTTTGCCCAGACCCTGCTTCTGGGGAAGCTCACAAAACCCCACTGCACTGGCCTACATATCTTACTGGAAACTCAGGATAAATTGAGGCTCTTCCCAACCTTAGGCTGATAGCCACAGACAGAAGCAGTCGTCTGTCTAAAGACAAACTTCTAGAAGTATATTTGGGAAAAAAAGGGGAAACACTAGATAAGTACCATGTGTCTTTTTAGATATACACAGCATAATTTTATTAAAATGAAGTTTCCTCCCTCTTCCACACACACACACACACACACACATCTTAGACACATGTAATTACCTATGTTTTTATCAATCATCACTAAATTATTATTTTTTTTGGTGGGGGGTTTCAAGACAGGGTTTTTCTGTGTAGCCCTGGCTGTCCTAGTACTCTCTCTGTAGACCAGGCTGGTCTCGAACTCACAGAGATCCACCTGCCTCTCTGCCTCCCGAGTGTGAGCCACCACTGCCCAGCAACTATCACTAAATTCTTACATTTAAATATTGTTAAACCTAAACAATCTCCACATTGCCTTAAACACAGATAGGTCTTTAAAATTGGCTGGGTGCTGTGGCACATACTTTTAATTCAAGCATTTACAAACAGGATCTATCATGAGATCAAGACCAACCTGGCCATCCTGGGCTATATATCGAGATTCTGTCTCAATATTCCCCAAAACAAAGCAATAAACCACAGCTTTCCAAGGCCATCTGCTGAGGCCATCCCTGTGAAGTTATATTGCTCTTTGGCCACTATTCTTTTTCAAGAACATTTCACGCCAGTGAATACTGCATACTTACCATTCCCAAGTAGGACATCCACAGCCACAGTTGTCAGGTCTTTAGTACAAGCAGTCTTGATGTCTTCAGTAGGAGCAACAAACGTGCTAAGTCCTGTTGTTCTGTTGATGTAAACCATTCTTCCCAGAGTTACATCAAAATGCTGCTGCCAACCCATACAATATGAATTTGAGTCTTCATTTGTGGAACATGATCTCGCTTTAGATTCTTCATTTTGGGAACAAGTTCCACCTTGGCTGGCAGTGCTGTCTTCTACCTGACTCATGGTCATTCTATGGGGAGGATCAGGACTTCCTGTATGCTGTTCTGAAGACCTGGTGAGAACATCTGAATCTTTACTGATTTCAGAGTCATTGCAGGGTAACAGCAGCAAAGGAGTTTCTCGTCTCTCTGTGCCATCCATTATATTTTTAGAATGTATGGCACTGTCATGGCTGGAATTATCGTGTGTGGCAGGGTCCGGTATTAGGAGCATGCCACTCTCTATTTTTTCATGTTTATTTTTAAGTAATTCACAAGCATGTAAGTCTGACCTAGCAGCCCGGCTACTGTCTGTCCAACTGGAACCCGAATCTGGAAGTTCGCTGATGTAGTCTGTCATCTCCATTGTTTGCATCTCTTTTTCGGAACCTTTCAGTCTGGATAACTTAGAAGCTAGTGATTCAGCGGACTTCTCCACATTGGAAGGTTTTCTGCGACAGTGAGATAATTCTGTCAGAGTAATGGGACTTTCTCTCAGATGAGGCATCTGTCCTAAGTAGTCTTCTTTGGAAAATGGAAATGTCTCTGAGAATGGGATGTGACTTGCTGGTTGACAAGCATCATGTGAATCGCTGGGGTCCACAGCAGTGCTCTCACCACCATCAGACGTATCTAAGTGGTCCTTGTCTTTCAGTAGAATGCCAGTTTCCACCCGAGCATCTCGATGGGTCCTGACTTCGGTGTTACTGTCCCCCTCTGTATCTAGAGAACTGTTAACCTTCCCATACTGCCTCTTAAACTTCTCTAAAGATCCTACTTGTGAACGCAGGCTTAGCTTCCTATGGACTACGTGTTTGGAGGAACACATCATCTTATCTGTTTTCTTATTTGAAGCATATCTATACCATGGGAAGGAGGATGTATCAGGCAAAAAGCAATCTCTGTGGGATCCTGTGCCACTTTCCTGAAAGAGAGTCAAGTTCTCATCCGCTGCTGCTGGGTTGTCCTCTGTCCCATAACTTGCATTTGTCCTGCGCAATTTTTTGTGGAGCAGATGAGCAGGTTCTTTATTTAAAGTGCTTGTAAAATCATTATTTCCTAGAGTCTCAACTGCGTGGTGTGCTCTATTTCCAAATGTTTCTTGGGCACTTACAGGACCAGGTCGAACATAACTTTTAAATGAATGTTCGGCTTCGGCTGACTTAGTGTGCTCCTTTTGTACCACATGAGTTATAAAGCCGGTGGAGCACAATTTAACTTGTCCATAACTAAAAACATTTACTCTTCCATGACTACTAGGCTCTTTTCTTCCTTTTTCCTTCTTTCTCTGTGTATCATGTACTCTAAATGCTGTTGTCTCAAAAGGCAGAGGTTGGTACCCCACTTTGGTAGCTTCTTTACATTTCTCCAGTGGACTCTGAATCCCACCATATTGGGGAATGTCGGCAGCCATGACATTAACAGCAGTACTTATTTTCTGTGTTTCTAGTTCTGCCTTGCCCTTCTCAAAGAGATGATGTGTCCGAATAGGGTTTGGAAACATTTTTGGGCTAGTTCCAGGTGGACTTTCTGAGGCCCTCCTATGTTCCAAGAAAGACTTCTGATGTTCCTCGTTTTCTCCTGATTGTGCTGCTTCCTGCAACACCCTTGATTCTGAGTGAGCGCTGTTTTTGCTGGGTGATGATGGCTCTATCATCTTACTACCGCCCAGGCCATCTGCTTCACAATGGCGTGATGAGTCATTTGTCTTTTTTCTGATAGCTTCTGAAGCCCCAGAATTTTGTGGGTTTGTATTTTCTATGGTAGCTATTCTTTTCACAGTTTTTGACTGCAAATTGAACATTTCATAGGAATCCAAAATATGATTGCATGCTTCCTGGAAACTGCTCTGTTCACACATCTCATGAGTAGATACATGTGTTTGAAGGGTAGCTCCCAACAAACTGAAATCATTATCGTCGTTAAATTCCTTAATATCTTCACCTGATAATTCTACAAATAGTTTTTCTTGCTTTAAAAACCTTTTCACTCCTTCCTGAATACAAATCAACAGGGTATCCCAGTTCTGAAACTCAATCAGAGTTTTGGCTGGCTCCATGCACACGTCATAGTCACAGAACTGGCACTGCACATTGATTACATATATCCCATGGAGTTCCGAGGCAGAGCGATGCCGAGGACTTGAATTCATGTGTCTACTGGCAGAGCCATTCTTTGGCCTGCATATAATGCTTTCTTTTCTTAATAAAAAGTCAATGAGTTTATGCAACTTTGTCCTTAGAACTAGTCTTCTGTTCACAAACAGAAACTGCATATTCTTATTGTAGTGTGCTTCAGAGCTAACGTAGCCACTGAACTCAAACTCCTTATATTTAAAATGTATTTCTCTTAACTTTTGGGACTTGCCCAGTCCATAAATTTGACAAAACCGAGAACATATATCTTTGGTTTTGGGGAGTTGGAGGACCATGGCACCAGAAACATCGTTCCTCAAAGAGAAAGAGATGGAAGGGTGCATGAGTGAGATGGCTTCTACCCTCTGCCTAACCTTCTCAAACTCTAGTCTGGGGTCCATGCTTTTCCTCCTCACAGGGAACTGGGAAAACAGGTTATACACTGTTACTGTTGTTCCCACACTTGGTCTAGTCAAATCAGCTTCACAAACATTTAGGGCTTTTCCATTCTGAAACATTTTCACAAAGGTTTTCATAGTTGTGTTTTTCTTGGATAAAATTTCCACAGTACTAGCCATGTCAACTATACTTGCCAAGGCCTCTCCTCGGAAACCATAAAACTTTGAGTTCTCCAAGTCCTGTATTGAGTTGCATTTACTAGTAAAATACCGGTTTCCCACCTTCTCTACATCATCACCCGCCATCCCAAACCCATTGTCTATCACTTGAACTTGGAAGGTTTCCATATTCACTCTGATGGCCACACATTTTGCTTCAGCATCAATACTATTGAGGATAAGTTCCTCAACACATTGGCTTAAGGAGATTATGGCCAAACCGGAACGCAATTTGGCTTGTACTTCATCTGACAAACACTTGATCATGGCAGGCAGACATGTGGAGAGAATGTCAGACACTGGCTTCCTTTTCTGACTGGAAATAACCACCTATGGGGGAAAAAAAACACATACCTTATCACACCTCAGTTATATAGCATTACCCACTTCTCTCAAGTATTATGAAGAACTACAGTTTGAGAAAAACAAAATATTAAACCAAAATATGAAACAGAAGTATACTTCTAATTTCTAGACAGCACACAAAATTCATGCCTGGTATAATGAACTTCAATTCCAAAGAAGCATTCATAATTTCATAATTTTCCCTGTTCCTAAAGTGAATGCCCTAAAGTAAAATCACAATTATACTTGATGTTGACCCGTAAAGACACTATTCAAAATTCTAAGCACTTCACTAAAAACAGATGCCTAAATTAAATTCAGCTAAGAAACATTAGCTAGAAATTATTCATGAAAAAAAAAAGTCCAAGCTAGTTTCATAACGTTTATACATTACACAATATCCATGGCTTTTGGAAAACCTTTGATGTGCTAAGGCACTGTAAGTAAAAAAAAAACAACAACAAAAAAACAAAAACAAAAACAAAAAAACAAAAACCCAATAGGCTGGAATTAAAAAGTCAAACATATCAAGGAGAGACATATATTAAGCGATTATTACTGTCACTCCTTTCTCAGGAGGAGGACTCGGATAGGGAGACAGTGGGGGGTGAGGGGAGTTAAGCAGGAAAATTCCTTCGCCTATAAGTATTTTACCATTTGCTATTTAAATCCTGTTCCTGTGTTGCTTGATAGTTGGCTGAAAAGCCCTGATTACTAATATTCTTTCTTACTGATACTCTCGGTCTCTACATATCTCCAGAACACAGCCTGGCAATAATGATGATGATTTGGGGTTGTCTGAATCTGATATCAAGTTCACGTGCAGGTACAAACAAACCTTAGATTCTAGGTCACTAAAGGTCTCACTTCCTTCTTCATAAGCAACAACAGCACGGCTGGTGGCAGGGCTGGCTTTTTAAAGCCTGGGAATTGCTTTCTAAGGCAATGAACTTAGCGGCCGTTGGCAAACGGGGTGAATGTTTAATAAGCTTTCTGATAAGCCTAGTCCTAGGGTCCCGCAGCCCGGCGTCCCGTGCGG